CCACCCAGATCAAAGATCACACCAAGTTTCTGAATACAATATTGGTTTAGGGCATTGTCACAGAAAGTGTTTTTCTCCCAATTATATTCCAACTGTGCCATTTACATTGAGACAAAACTGTTTATCGTTGGAACACTCCTAGCCATCAGTATATTGTGAGAGAATGGCCTCTGGGAGGTGATGTCACCTGAACTTCACAACAGTGTTGTCAAATTGGTGATGTTGTCGCTGGATCTCGTGACTTTACTTTCCCTCGTGATCAAATTGTGTCAAAGCGACGAGCGACAAATCTAGCGACTTTCTGGTAAAAATGACATTTAAAAGCAATTCCGGGTGTGTATTAAAGAACTTGTATAAGGTGAGTAAAATTACATATTTTGATTCCAGTACTTTGAAAGGTTCATCGAGTGAATGTTTTGGGGTTTGGTGGTCTCTCACCTGAAATAGTTGCCAACTCAGCATCTTCAATGTCCTTCAATGTCCTCTCGTCGACCGCCAGGTGGTGCAGCTTCTCAGCGAGGGGTGGTAACACGCGAGACGAAATCTGCTGGACTGCGAAGTCGTGAAACTCTCTGTGCGTCTTGTACAGTAAAGGATGGTCCAGATGTCCTGCGACACCCCCCCCCCCCCCCAATTAATTGAACATTCTTGATTTACTTATTTCAGATGGCTGATACGGGTTCACATACTTTTGAAGAACGGCTTGTAGTGAGCCTAGGGGCTCATGAATAATATATTTGCTCAAGTGGTATTGTGCAAAGAAAATGCTGGTTCTCATGCAGACTGACTGGACCCTTAACAAGTACAATATTAATATTTAAAATCATGATGAGATTAAATACAGTTATGACGTTTTTTTTATATTGCTTACATTACACAAGACACCCATTGGTTTCAGACATTGAGTTTTAGATAATTAAATGGGGGTCACAAGACATCTGGGCCACAATGTACAGTACTTTAATATTATCGGGGTTACTCCGAGTTTAATGTAATGTGCAAAATATTCCTTAAACTGAAATTGATCATTCAGAATCAGGGCTCTTTTGAAAAAGTGTTGCATATATTTGAGGCGTTGGGCTGAGAGGTGACCAGGAGATAGCAGTGAAGTAATGGATTAATGAATTGATATGTGTGGTGCTGTGTTACCCTTCACACACATGTGTGTGGGTTATAATGGTAGGAAACGTAGCGGACTGGAAGCCCAACCGGGATTAATTCACAGGAGGCAGGGGATTAATTGTGTATGTCTGTGGATGTCTGTCCACGTGGGAGGGGTGGGGCTGGGTGAAGAGGGGAGGGTAGAGAGGGGCTGGGTGGGGCTGGGTGGGGAGTGGGAGGGGTGGGGCTGGGTGGGGTGGGGCTGGGTAGGGAAGGGCTGGTCACCCCGTGGTGCCCTTATATGGACTGGAAGCCCAACCGGGATTAATTCACAGGAGGCAGGGGATTATACACTGCACTTTCTGGTGCGACCTCTTGTACACTGCGCTTTCTGGCGATGTTTTATAATTCTGCTCACTTTTCATTTTGCTTTCTTCTGCGCACGACCCTAACAAGTTTGGCTTAAATATCCGTACATTATTACTTCATAATTACTTCAAAATTTCCTACCAGCCCCCTCCGCAGGAATGTGTTTTCTCCAGTTTACATCAACATACCACACTTCATCCACTGAAAATCCCAATGCAGGACCCATCTTGGGAATAAACAATTATTCTTAGGACGTAGCGTGGGTAAATGTCACTTGTAATTTATTGAATGTCATTATAAATGATCAGAGCTGGATTTTTGTTTAAATTAAGTGAACAAAAATGCGTATTAGTGCATTTTTCTGTGCATACATTTTTTTGTTGTGGCTGAAATCCAGCCGGATGCGAAACCAGGATTTCAACATCACCAACAACAATGCAAAATAAACATGCATTACAGGTATGAGTCTCTTGTGCAGAATATTCACGAATCGAAGCTTCATCAGTTCAGTTCAGTTTATTTTGGTATAGCCCTGTGAGCCATTCGGCTCTTGAATCGGGTGCAACCACAACAAACAAAAAAACAAAAACAAGAAAAACATCTTAACGTGACTATGTGTAAACATTGGGCCTGTTCATCGTCGCCGCTTCTGGGCATTTGCGATGGGATGATGACACTCGTGAACATGTGTATGTGGAACTTGTTTGAACACCATACGGAGCCAACCGTGCTGAGTCATCAATACAAAAAAATACCACGACTGGTGATTAATGTATCAACTAGCTGTACTACCCGGGATTTGGATCCACCACGCGCGGCCGCCTTTGTCTCCCCAGTGGCGATGTTCACACACCACAGCAGTTACTCGTTTGAGGCTGAGTCGACCTAGGGGAGGCCCAGAAGCGGTTGAAATAATCGTCACCGGTGGTGGCCGTGAGCTGGAATCGAACTCGTGTCGCCGGGTTCGTAGCGCGGCGCGCTAACCGCTACACTACAATGTGTTACGCTTCCACGTGCGCGGGTCACGTGACAGATTTGACGTCACAGCTCACTGGCCAAAAAAAACCGAAAGTGTATTTTTATAAATTTTGCATGGTGTACAGTCTGGAAAGTACCCACATGGCAAATTTCCAGTTTGTTGCATGTCGGGAAGTACGCTAAACATTTTGAACAGACACACACATTCACAACTTTGCCTTTTTTATATATGGAGATATAAAAAAATACCACGACTGATGATTTATGTGATGATGGTGGTGGCGGCCTGTGAGTCTGTGACTTAGCCAGTTCGAATAAAGCTCAGTGCGGGGCCTGTAGCATCTGTTATAAAGGGGCCCTAAATTAAATAACACATTTTTAACTTGTGTAGTAAAGTAATTGTATTTTTATATTTGCTATACAGTACAGATAATACGACAAATCGCTAACTTTAAACACACAGTCGTTCATAAAAATTGAAGGCGGTATAGTACTATAGTAATAGAGCTAGTGCAGAATCACTGAACCGGAATTGTTAGCTTGAAAGCATTTAGCGTGGGGCCCTTGAAACATGCGGGACCCGTAGCTACTACATATGTAGTAGCTGATACATATGTAGGAGCTGATACATATGTAGTTGGTGGTGTTGGTGGTTGGTGTTGGTGGTTGGTGGTGTTGGTAGTGGTTGGTGGTGGTGGTTGGTGTTGGTGGTTGTGGTTGGTGGTAGCGTTGGTGGTTGGTGGTGGTGATTGGTGGCGTTGGTTGGTGGTGGTTGTGGTTGGTGTTGGTGGTGTTGGTGGTTGGTGGTGGTGTTGGTGGTTGGTTGGTGGTTGGTGTTGGTGGTTGTGGTTGGTGTTGGTGGTTGGTGTTGGTGGGTGGTGGTGGTTGGTGGTGTTGGTGGTTGGTGTTGGTGGTTGTGATTGGTGTTGGTGGTTGGTGGTGTTGGTGGTTGTGATTGTGGTTGGTGTTGGTGGTGTTGGTGGTTGGTGGTGGTGTTGGTGATTGGTGGTGTTGGTGGTTGTGGTTGGTGTTGGTGGTTGGTGTTGGTGGAGAATAAAAATAAATAACCCCCCGGGGCCACTTAGCGCGTCCCGCCCCTGCTCACCAGGAAGACGAAGAAGAACCTCGCAGCAGCAGCAGCAGGCAGTGGATCGAACAGAAGCGGGAGAGGAGGGAGAGGAGGACGTCTGGTGGGGGGTTGTGTAAGAGATTCACCATCGTGCGGATCGTCACCTCGTCTGCTTCTGGGTAAGGCCTCTTTCGCCATCACGCCTACATAGCGCGTAGCCGTGTCATTGTAGTTATAATAATTATAGTAATTATTATAAAGCAGCCACACGGTTAAACTCGACCGGTGCCATTCTCTCTGTGAACATTGGCTTCGGCGGCTGGGTTTGCCTTACCGCGTTTGTTAGTGAAGGAGTTGTTGTTGTTGTGGCTACTAACGCCGCACTACCATCATCGTCGTCATCATCATCGTCGTCGTGAGCTCTCCGCAGGGCCCCAGGCGTGCCGGAGTGTAACCAAGTGGGTGGGCATCGTCCACCCACTTGGAACTTGCGCGGCTTCCCAGCGCTCTCGCTCTGTGTTTAAGATGTTTTTTTCTTGGTTCGTGTTTTTGTTTTGTTTGTTTGTTGCGGTTGCACCCGATTCAAGAGCCGGAATGGCTCACACAGGGCTACGCCTAAATAAACCGAACTATGTTGGATTCTAGTCGAGGGCCGACACGTTTAGCTCTCCCCCTGCACATTTGACATCGCCCCGCACCGCCAAGTCGCGTGTAACTACTCGCAACTCGCTGCACTTTGGTGGTTAGAACTTTGTTTTGCACAACCACCACGTTGTAGACGCGTTTACGTCCTTTGTTGTTTCAACGAAATACGCACCGCGCGTTCATTAATGTTTGAAGGGGTGTGTGGAGCGGTGGCGCAGCGGTTAGCGCACTGCGACGCTTGAGCTGACGAGAGGGGAGTTCACGGCGAACATCAGTGGCGAGGAGTCGGGGATCTGAACTCTTCCCGGAGGCCCCCCGGGCCGCCTCCTTCACGTCTCATCACCGCGCCTCTCTGTTGCAGGCTACACGGGGCGCCTTTGCCTTTGTGAGGACAGTATACGATGTGTACAGTGCACCATTGCGCCAGCACTGTCCAGCCTTGGGTCAAGTCCACTGCTGGACGAAGACCTCCCCACCGCCGGGGGTTATTTGACCATACTTCACCACGCCGGTCAATGGGCGTTTTACGTGGTGTGGGTGGTGGGGGGCAGGCATTGAAGTACAGTTGTAAGTACTCTTTGGTTCTATTGGGTAAAGTCACGTAGGTAAAAAATAAAATAATAAAAATCACGACGTTTCGGCCACAACACAAGCGGCCTAGAGTCTCGTCCCTTCACCTGATGAAGGCCGCTTGTGTTGTGGCCGAAACGTGATTTTTGTTATTTTATTTTTTACCTACGTGACTTTACCCAATAGAACCAAAGAGTATGGATCCTTGCAGTCACGAAAGCTTTAAATCTAGAATACAGTTGTAAGTCCCAACAACAACAATAGTTACATTGCCCTCTGTGACCAGCCCACACGGTGTAGGCCATGCGTCGGTCCTGACCCGGTCGGTACTTTATTTTTATATATCTATATCTTCCGAGATGTTGACCATCGTCGTTCGCATCATTTGGCCCACCCTCATTCGCCCCAGGCCACCTCACTTCGCTTCTGTAACAGAACATGTCCTCAAGACGCCTTGCCAATGCAGCGTGAAAAAGCTCGCGACCATTGAGATGTTTCCAAGATTCGAATTGTGTGCTTAAAACTGGGTTCTCAAGTACGACTGAGTGAGCCTGATGGGTCTCGTGCTCCAGTCGCTAATAAGTACACGCAGACAGAAATAACAATCTACCACATCCACACCTTTGACGAATTCCAATGTTGAGAATTAATATCGGGTTTGACAGTCATCCGACGAACATTATTACTGCCGTGCACAGCGGGGAGGGAAAGTGGTGTCCCACTACTGTGTGAACAGGTCTCAGAGGTAGCTCTACCATAGCCGATTCCGCGGGCCGTTCTCTCACACGAAGGGCTGGGCTGCTCTGCGAGACATTTGAATTAATTATTCGTCGGGTGACATTTACGCCGATAGGACAATTAGGATATCATGTGGTAACATTTTTTTTAAAAATATGATCACGTCTTTTTTTGTGGATCGCAGGGCATCGGTGGGGGGAAAAGAGCTTCACAGCTCATCGGATTTCTTCAGGATAAATAAATAAAGATTCTGATTCTGAGCAGAATCTGCACGAGACGCCTATCTGTAGGGCAATGTGGTGCCGCTAGGAGGTGACGGCGAGTTTGTGCCGTGCTAAATCTGTGCAGGGATTGAGTATTAGCCCATGGTATGAATTGCATTACTTCCAAGCACGCTGGCAGTCTGCCTTAATTCCTGCAGCAAAATCACACTACAGCATCATAAATACTGTACTTGTGAAGAGTGGTGGCGCATTGATTAGCGCACCACGCTGCTATCAGTCCGCTGCCATCAGTTGCGATTGATATGTGAACCGGTCCAGCATAACACACACTTGACCCACTCGCACAGACCAGCGTGGTGAAGTATGGTTAACAAACAAAAAAAAACCTCACGATAATTAACCTCTACTGTGTTGTAAATATTGGGTCCGTGTTAAAACTGAAAACCCTCGCGATTTCCACAGCTTGGAGAGAGGCAATTATTCAGCAGTGGGTTTACCAAAGAGGGGGGGCTACATTATCATTATTATACCCGTGTGGCTGCAATTATGAAAAAGGCGATGTCCAAAAATCCAGAGAAAGATCCTATTCGGTGCGAATCTTGTGAACACTTGCGTGATGGACAAAGTGTTTAACATTTTTTTCCACAATTAACTTGTCGCCCATGTAACAGTTTGCCCACCTACAGTCGTATCCTATTTGGTTCCTTGATGCACTTTTGTATGCACGTATGCAGGCATTTACCCAGTTTTGAAGTGGGTAGACTGGGAAAACTGGCTTTGGGTCATATTCTCACTCACACAGGGGGCAATGGTATGCACCCCAAAAGGTTTGTGTGCAATACGTGGCAATAGCTTGCGCAACGCAGCATAGCGAATGTACACCTTCGTAGCGAGGTGCCGCATTCCTGTTTCCGGACATTGTGCATCGTGTGCTGCTCTTACGCTGGTGTGAAATAATTGGGAGTCATCATCGGTCATCCGCCGAGCATTTGTCGTGTCGGGATGATGATGGAGCCACTTACCAATGGTACCGTGAGTGTGTGAGGTTTGTGTGTACTTCGTACCGTGATGTTTGCATGTTTGTACGTACTGCGCATTTTGGGTTACTTTTTTATGCGAAATGTCTCTTCTCTCTCGTCTGTCACTACTATGCATACAAGCTCACTGTGAACATATAGAGTTAACCCAAAAAAACCTGTATTATGGACAGTTATTTATATTTCTGTTGCGACTCGATTACTAAAGTCAATTACGGTAAATACATTTTGTTAAAAAGAGCGTTGGGTGAATTTAAGTCGAGTACATTGTTACGTTTTGAGTGTAGAGCGTAAGCCCAGCGGTTGGCGCACTGCGCTCAAACGCAGCTCCATGAGTTCAGTTCCCAATCGTGGCTAAATAATAGTGGCGAGTGGAATCTGAACCAGTCCTGGGCCCTAATCCTTCACCAACTGCCACCGATTGGCATGGTAAAGTATGGTCAAACATCCTCCTTGACCGACACGGTGTAGGGAAGGTCTTCATCCATCAGTGGATTGACAAAAGAGATTTAATTTATTATCGCACGAATATATTGTTGCGTAAAAAGTACTTTTTTATTTTGAGAAATGTTAAACTGTTAGCAAATAGTGTCCTTGTCCTACACCGGCACTGTAGTCAACCCAATGCTGGATGAGGATCTCCCTACGCCGTACAGTTATTCGAGCATACTTCACCATGCCGACACAGGTTGGCGAAAGTGGGCACCATCACCGTGGGTGAATATAAAGTACAGGGCCAGAAAATGATCACTGCACTCTGGCCGCCATGTAGCCCCTCGGAAGCGGCCTACCGGCAGTCCCTAACTTACGAATGCCCGACTTATGAACATCTGCACTTGAATAAGATATTTATTTTTAACCATCCGGCTTGCAAACGTGACCTCACACTTGCGAACCGACCCGCGGAACTATTTGGTTCGGCAAACGAACAAATGTATAGTGTCTTCTTATGAATGAGTTCAAAAATTTCTTCCCTTTTGTTGAACCTTGAGACATTTTTGTAGCACTGACCGTTCGTGCATTTAAATACAGTACATTATTGTGTTCCGACTCATGGAACCGTTGGACTTCCGAATGGGTTTCAGTCAGGGGCTGCCCGTAATAGCAAACAGCCTGGCCTGAACGGTAACACAGGAATAGCTTCCCCCCCCCCCTTCATTGCCAGGTCTCAAAGCTGCTGCCCGGCGTTTACCGTTTCCGCACCGATCCGCGCTCGACACCATGGGAGACGAGATGGGGGTTGAGCGGCAGCGCGACCTGGAGGCTGCCATGGACACCGAACTGCGTGCCCTCGTGCAGGTGTCTGCGCCGCAGGAGAGAGAGGTGAGCTCGCACATTCCGTCTGCGTCTATAGACAACATCTGCTGTCTTGAGCCATATGTATACTTTTTTTTTATTCCACCCCAACCCCCCACCTTCCCCACCGTCCCCAACATTTTTAAGAAATTGTGCTCTCGGCATCACGTCCTGAGACGAGGGATCTGATCAGAATTTCCGTGTTCGAGATTGGTCTACGAAAGCAGATGTCAAAGAGTTACCGCTGAGGTCCCTTCCCAGTTACCTATGGCCCACACAGTAGAGGGAGCAGCACTTTCCCACTCGTGCTCTCGAGCGAGCGATGTGTGTCACATGTTGCCCCAAATCCATCAAATGGAATTTCCCCCCCTCTGGCTCCTTGGCTCCGAGCTTCCTATTCTCCTCTTTCTGCTGCCATCTTTTTTTCGATGTAGAATTTTCAACTGCACCTTGCCATGAATATATACTGTATATATGTATACCTCCCTTTTCAGAGATGCCAATAAAGCCAACGCTGACTTATTCTAGATGACGTCTTGGGATGTGCTCGCATTTAGATGCTATATCGTTCCAAATTGTACGTGTTGCATTGATGTAAGTACAGTAAATAAATTGATACCTCATTGCATTCCGAATAAGAAAGTGCTAATGAATGCTTAATATTCTCAGATTCTCACTATCGTTTATTTGCTCATTGTTTCAAAATTTTCAAATAATAATTGTACCACAAAGCTTCACCAAAAAAGGGAACTGCTGTTCCCTTTTTTGACAGGCAGCACATGTCCTTTTCACACTGTTTATAACTAACATCATAAGCTTGGCCTGTTTTTACCTCATTCCTATTTTGAACCCAGTTCATTACTCTTTGGTTCTTTCGGTAAAGTCGCGTAGAAAGAAAAATAAATTAAATAATGGCAATCGACGTTTCGATTGCAACACAAGCGATCATCATCAGGTACAAATGAAAGAGAAAACAAACCAAGTAAACTTAGAAATACAATGCAGTACAACACAGAGAGTCGGCTAACATAACAGTCAACACCCTAACTGGTTGATTACGTTCTTCAAAAGATTGCTAAATTTGAGAGAGAAACAAAACAGACACGGAGACACACAGACAAAGACAAAGATCCCCCGTATAGCCTTAACATACTGTAGGGGCAAGAGCTGTTAGCGAGCACCTATGAAGGCCGGAACGGTACACGAGGGGGTGGGTGGCCAGCACCACGCCCGACCGCCTTTGTCTCCCTAGTGGCAATGTTTACACACCGCACCAGGTACTCATTTGAGGCTGAGTCGACCTAGGGGAGGCCCGGGACCGGTTCAGATAATCGTCACTGGTGTTGGCCGACAGACACACACAGACAGACACACAAGCAGAGAGAGATAACACAGAGACACACAGAGAGAGACACACACATAGGCACACAGAGAAACAACGCCTCTGTGTCGAGGCCTTAATTAGAGAGAGAGGCGGGGGGGGGTAGAGAGAATGCACAGGTAAACTCAATGGCTGAATTAAAGTTACAAGCTTATACAATGTCTACCCTTGTCTATTTCCATAAATCGCCATGCCCGAACTCGCTCACTGTCTGCAATGCTTACGTAATATTACTCTGCTCTCTGCAGCAAGCACTGTCCTAAGAGATAACTGTGTTTTTTACCCTCGGATTCAATGATCTCATCCAATTTTTAACAAGCAATGTCACATGTTTGTGAATTCATATTTAAACCTGGACTTGATGAAAATTAACTTGTGCATCTTTAGGCCATGCAGCGTGACATGGAGGACTTTAAGATGGTCTTTCAGAAGTTCCTGGAGAACCGCCCCTCCCTCGACTGGGAGAAGATTCAGAAGCTTCCAGAAGGAGCGGTAAGCCACGGTGATATGATGTGCCACGTTTACTACTGGACACCTGTGAAAAAGAGACGTTTGGCCAGCATTGAAGAGGTAAAATTCCCTCGAGAGGGCCTCTCAAGAGCTCCCTCTATTGGAGGCCCTTCCTGCCCAGTCATGGGCATGAGCAAGCAATTGCAGGGCTGCACCTTTGCCTTTCACTTTTGTGACTGCCATAATAGAGCGGTGGATGCTGTGCACCGTGCCCAACTGCCGAATGAGCATTTGGAAGACAAAAACCAGAATGCAAAGTAAAGTTTTCTAGGACTTTTTTTTGTATCCAGCCATTTGTGACAGGATCTGAGACCATCAATCTGCTGCTTGCAATTGGGGTGCATGATTAAAACCCAAGCCCTCAGTCTCGTTGTTTAAAGTAGACGTAAGTGCCCGAGTCACCGTACCCCCCCCCTCCCCCGCCACTATTCTTTTAACATAGTACATTTATATTATCCAGTCCATAATAGTTTTTCGGGGTTTGATTGAATATAAATATGCCGTTAAACCCGCCACCACCTGACACAGCCAATTAGTAAGGTTTGTCACGTAAGCAAAACACGCCAATTCATTACAAGTATGGAACACTGGTGTGTTGGCATATTTTGCTCATGTGAAAAATATTATTTATTAACTCAAAAACCTCATGGATAATATTGGTCGTGAAAGCCTACTGCGTGTGAAACGTATTATCCAGTGTTGAGAATGTCATGGTGTGTTTATCAAGAGAGAACAAATCCTGCTTCTCTCGTGTGCACAGCTGCTAAACATACTCTCGTAACAATTGCCGTGGCTCTTATAGGGCAGAAGTAATCACTAAAAGCTGTGCATCGAGTTTTAACAAGGATATCTACATGTATGAACACGCAGCGGGATAGGCTGGTTTCTACGTCAAGTAAGGGTCCGTTACTAAATGAGTCATGTATGGGAAATGTGATAATCACTTGTGGCTGCTCGATTTCTGTCAAATTCGATGTGCAGCAGAAGCCAGCACAATATAATATATTTCGGATGTATATATATATGCGGAGTGTCCAAATTTAATCGCGTCTCAAGCTGGCGCAGCCCGGACTTGTCGTATTTTGTGTGATCGCCAAATGTGGACAGTGAGGCGTGTGGTTATTTTGTGTCCCGCAAGTAATGGGGGCTTTTTCGCAGCCCTAAAAAAAATTAAGCAGTTGAAATGGAAAATCACACTCCCACGTCCGATTCAGCACAGTTGACTACATACAGTGCGAAATAAAGTTACACTTGCAAAGCTTAAAAATTGAACAGCGTAACAAAGAAATGCTGACTTGTTAGCGGTGTCTCCGTGCTGGGCAGGCTTTTAATGCAGCTGGTAGGCCTATTGTAGTACTGCACACTACCTCTTGTGTTTAGTTTGTTTTTCCTTCCCCCCGCACCTCCGATTCACATGGTTGGCTATGTACGTTGCGAAAGAAGTTCAACATCCATACATACATGATAGGCGCGTGAGACTGTAAATTCCAGAAATGGCCTGTATTATACAATGGTTTCAGTGGTGTTTGTTTCACCTTTTATATTACTTTTTTATATGTACAGTCATATACAAATCTATATTACATTCTGTAAATAGGCTACGTTGAAAGAGTTAGGTTTTGTTAAGAATATATATCTCTATGGGGCACCCCTGAATGAACCCGGTATTTTGAGGACACTGCAGTTGAATAAACAGTGCCGGTGAGAGGATAGGGAAGGGCCCCATCCTCTAACAGACGTAGAGGCTTAAAAATAGATTTTCGCCTCTCATCAAAATGCTGTTGGCCACACTGAGGTTTATGGATGGGGTCAGGGTGCAATTGAATGAATACAGGCAATAAAACAGAAGTATTGTGTAACAGTTAAGCCATAACTTATTCTGTTCACAAATGTATTGAATTAATTTGTCAAACTTTCAGCCCAGGCCTCCCCATGTGTTTCTGTTATGGTGTTTCTTTAACCATATTTCAACAAACTGGTCAATGTAGGTTGGTGAAGAGGGGGCCCGGGACCTGTGCAGACATCACTCAGCCCTGATGGTAGCCATGGCCCGGAATCAAACTCGTGTAGCCAGGGTCACAGTGCATTGTGGTGACCACTGTGTCACTGCTCAACCCACATGTATATAATTCTTTAACATATTTAATGTAATATTGATTGTTTAATAGTTAGACTCGAAAACAGAATTTCTCACAAGAGAGAATCTGCTGTAATTAAGGAAGTGCGATGGATACGTCATGTAAATGAATACATTCTCGCTGGGTGCAGCGTTGACGATTCTGGATACATTCAAGGTGGGCGGGATGCACTCCCAGAATATGCACTTTTGCGTCATATCAGCGGTAAAATAATGTCATTGCTTTGCTGACTCGGAGACCTCTGAATGGGTCAACACAATTTGACTGTACTTTAGTATTTTGGACCTTATCTTGTTTTCATGTTTTGCATGCAATTATGTAATGGCTCTGCTGTAATGTTAGAAATGTGCTCAGCTGCGTGGTGTTCTACCGAGTACAGACAGCTTGCTCAGGCTGGGAAGGTTGCGTAGTCCATTGGCTTAGTTAGAAAACGTCTTGTCATCTGGGCAGTAATCTTATTAAGGGGGTTAAGCTCTCGTATCCGATTAGGTTATCTTGAGGTTCTGAGCGTGATTAAAGCCAAGTTGATAATTGCTCGGCCTTATTCTGTTCTCGTGTCTTTTTGTAGGACGCTACATGAAAGTATTCGCCACCTCAGATTTGCAGATGGCACATGAATTATAACTACCAATAGCAATACATTATAAAAACAAAATCCTGAAGTTCCTTATGAGAAAGTCTTCGAGATGAACATTATCAAAATACAAGTTTTTCTCCAACACCTCCGATTAGCGCGGTGGGCTATGTACAGTGCGAAAGAAGTTCAACATACATGCATACATAGCGTCCAAATTCGTTTTTTGGCGAGGTCACGATGAAGCTCAACAGCGGTTTGAGCGAAACGTTGTTGTGCGTTGATGTCGAATTCAGCCACGAAAATAATTACATTGCCAGTGGGGAGCAGCTTTATCGGTCAGTCGGGAAGTCTTTGACCATACCTCACCGTGCCGGTCAATAGGGTTGGCGATGGAGTGGGCGCCCAAGACCAGTTCGCATCACTCGACACTGGCGTGAGCTGTGGCCAGAAATCGAACTCGGTCACACCTGGTTCGCAGCGTAGTGGGCTAATCGCTCCGCCACAGCTTTCATGGAACAGCTCGCAAAAAAAAGTGCCACGGGATCTTTTGCATCGCGCAACTTCTCCATGTTCCCGTCCAAAATCCACCGAAACAAAACGCTAACCCAGTTCTTTTGTTCTATTCGGTAAAGTCACGTAGGAAAAAAATAAAATAACAAAAATCACGACGTTTCGGCCACAACACAAGTGGCCTTCTTCAGGTGAAAGGGACAGACCTGTTGGGACGACAGAGCTCCAACAGGTCTGTCCCTTTCACATGAAGAAGGCCACTTGTGTTGTGGCCGAAATGTCGTGATTTTTGTTTTATTGTTTACCTACGTGACTTTACCGAATAGAACCAAAGAGTATGGATCCTTGCATTCACGAAAGCTTCAAATCTAGAGAAGCTAACGCAGTTCCCCCTTCAGAACGAAACACTGATGCGGTTTCCCCTTCAGAACGAAACACTGATGCAGTTCCCCCTTCAGAACGAAACGTCGACGAAGTTCCCCTTGAGAACGAAACACTGACGCAGTTCCCCCTTGAGAACGAAACACTGATGCAGTTCCCCCTTCAGAACGAAACATTCACACGGTTCCCCCTTCAGAACGAAACACTGATGTGGGTTCCCCTTTGAGAACGAAACACTGACGCAGTTCCCTCTTCAGAACGAAACGCTGATGCGGTTCCCCGTTCAGAACGAAACGTCGACGAAGTTCCCCCTTCAGAACGAAACACTGATGCGGTTCCCCGCTTGCCGGCAGGTGGAGCCGTACGAGGATCTGCGGGCACGAGCGCTGCCCTCTGACGTCGCAGCGCTGCTCAACCGTCTGGTGGTCGTGAAGCTCAACGGAGCTTCGGGCTCGCACATGGGCTTCCAGGGCCCGCACAGCCTCTTGGGCGTCCGCGACGAGAGCACATTCCTCGACCTGGCCATTGAGCAGATAGAGGTGAATGCCGGGGCAGTGATTATTGTTGTTGTTGTTTGAAACCACGGTTGCCATGCCAATGTAGGACACTCCTGAAAAGGAGGCTTAAGTGTGGCGTTGCTAGATACGTAACCTGAATTATTATTATTGCAGAGATCAACAAAGACTTGCTATTGATGCGGAGTAGATGGAGTCGGCTAATGTTGGGTATAGTCACTTGGATGTTGATATTATGTATGTTGAACTTCTTCCGCTCCGTACGTAGCCAACCGCGCTAATCGGAGGTGCGGGGGAAGGACAAGAAACTAAAAACTAAAATCGGTTTGAAAGAAATTAGTTTTCAATTTAGATTTTAAAGTGCATATCTCTAGTGGCTTCCTAATATCATAAGGAACAGCATACCAGATGGCTGCAGAAGCGCATCTGAAAACGCGCAATGCAATATTAACATGCAACAGATGGAAATGGATATTGCGATCGATGTGGAATAGATTGAATTGGTCACTGGAGAACGTGGAGCTTCACGCGGAGCCTTTAGATATGTGCTCTTAACCAGTGTTCGAGTTCAACTAGAGTGTATGGAAGTTGGATACTTTAACCTGCGATTGAGCAGTTTGCAGTACAAAGGATATGCCCTGCTTCATCGCTAACTTCTCTTCTCCTGAGCAGCATTTGAACGAGGCCTACGACTGCGATATTCCGCTCGTGCTCATGAACTCCTTCCTGACCAATGAAGAGATATTGAAAATCCTGCAGAAGTACAGCCACCGGAGGGTCAAGATAAAGACTTTCATGCAGAGCCGGTGAGGTTTTCAAGACCAGTGCTGATTACATACTTAAGAATGGTACACAAAGCAACTCGCCTCTATTCCACATATTGTAAACTAGAATTGTAATATTTACTCGTAACTTCCGAGCATCGGTATCATCAGCCATGGTCAGTCCACTGCTGGACGTTAAGTTGCGTTACGTCTCTTTGCAAAGCTATACTGGCTTTGTAAGGGACCACATTTTGCTATTGATGTATGGATAAGATTGTGCGCGGGGGGGACAATACCACCGACAGCGTTGGTCGCACACCAGAGCCGTTGTCGGTGGAAATTATTGAAAATGTCAACCCGATTATGGAATTACACTTGAGTAATTGGGAGTAAGGGATGGCGTGGTGGCACAAGTGGCTGGCGCGCCTTGTTACGAATTCGACGACCTGAGATCGACTCTCGTCCACGGCTAGCAACCGATGGCGAGTAAACTGGTCCTGAGCCCCCCCCACCTCCCTCGCCAACTCGCAATGACCAGAAATAGTTGTTGAACGACCCCCATAACCAACGTTGGTTGTTGAGGCCTTCATCCAGCAGTGGATTGACAAACGGTTTTAAATTATTTTGAGCGACATTTGAATTGTGACGAGGTGTGTAACAAGTCGGCTCCATTGCAATTCAAAGATATTTCACAACTTGGGGGTGGTCGTAATTCTATCCAAGAATCAATTTGTTTTTTACATTGTGGTGAATGTAGCAGCCCGAGTAAGCTTCAGGGGTCACGTGAACTAAGTTTCATGCAGCGTATACGATAAAGAATGTATCGTGACCATGACCATCACTTTCCAATTTGAAGGGAGGCATCTTTAAATGCCTCATTAGGGAACAGCAGCACCATCGGCTGCGAATGCGACCGCATTTGGCTCGCACTGAAAGCACTCCCACTTTCACACGATTTACCGCGCGAGGAACACTTTAGGCCATTCAGGAAACGCGCACGGCGCCGGGCGTACGTGCCACTCGTGTCTGCAATTAAGGAACCCCACCTCACCCAACGCCCATTTTCCAAATTGCATGGAATGTGCCCGGTCTTGCCGGATTTTGCAAGATTGAGCCTGGATGAGGTTTGGATGATTGTGGTCAGCAGAGCACAGTGTGGAAAAATCAATTGTTGTACTGTACTCGCATCGACATCTATGCTCCTTGCCTTCACCAACCGGCACTGACCTGCGGGGTCTGGCCAGAAAATCGGTTTGGGGAGGCCTTCATCCACCTCTGGATCGGCAAAAGGCTGTTATTGGTATTATATTAAACATTAAACAGAATATGATTAATGCAGACTTGACGCTTTGCAATAGGTGTCTAGAGGTTTTTTGCGTTAGATCGCATAAATATAAATTTGTCGTTAAACGCGCCACCACCCGACACAGCCAATTAGTAAGGTTTGTCACGTAAATAAAAGGTGACAATTAGTTACTACTTCAGCACACCGGTTGTGTGTTGGAGAGGAAACTCACAACATTTACAATTCGAGTACGACGTTTCTCTGGCGATTAAAACCAGCTTCAACAGGCGATTAGCCAGAATTGTGAAGAAGTATTCCTGTTTCGGTCTGAAATCGAGGGGAGTAAAGGTGATGTCATCACTGTTAGCCTATCAGGTGCCAGGACCAGAGGGGCGGTTACTGTGGTCATATAAATTACAATGCATCATGTTAATCGAAGAATATGCAGTAGCAGCTATTATTGGTTGGGTTATTCACAGTTAATAAACTTACAGTGGATCATGTTAATCTGATAATATGCAGTACCCTATTATTGCTTGGGCTATCCAGAGTTAACGTACAATTCTGTTTTAGCCAATAAAACCTTGTTTTCTGCCGCCACCGCGCGCTACCCGCGGTGCCACACTCAGCTACCCGCGCGTCCACAAGGAGACGCTGCTCCCGGCCGCGTCGGCCGACGGCGACGAGGAGCAGCTGCAGGCGCGCCACGACGGCTGGTACCTGCCGGGTCACGGCGACTTCTACGAGAGCTTCCACCGCTCGGGCCTGCTGGACGGCTTCCTGCAGCAGGGCAAGGAGGTCATGTTCATCTCCAACATGGACAACCTGGGCGCCAGCGTGGATCTGCACATCCTGCACCATCTGCTCGAGCCGCTGGCCGGCCGCTCGCGCTGCGAGTTCGTCATGGAGGTGACGGACAAGACGCGGGCCGACATGGAGGTGAGAAGCGAGACGGGGTGGTGGGGGCAGGGGGCGGAGGGTGAGACGCTGGTGGGGCGGGGGGTGGGGGGCGGCACCACCTGCCTTGGCCGCACTTAGCCAGGGATCGGTGAATGCGCGGTGAAGAATATTAGGAGTTTGCATGTTTTCCCCGTGGTTGCATGCATTTTTCTCTGTGTCTTCCGGTTTCTGCAACATGTGTTTTTGGATTGGCTGCTATAAATGTACACATGGTAAGCCTCTTCGTTGAGCTACCATTGTGGCCAGGTCGCTTCTAAAAAAAGCGCTACATATCAGCACAGTAGGCCTTACCTGGCAAAATAAAAAAAAAGATGGTGAATAGTGAAAAAATATTTTGGTTTAAAAAAAAAAAGTTCAAATGTTCGTTTTGACTGGGGCGCCGCCGTAACAGACAGTCTTGAGAACGACTTCGCCTCCTCCTCTTGACAATTAAGAACAGCCTGGAGTGCGACCGCGGTAACGACTCTCAAACCGCGGAAACGCGTAGTAACAACCACCGCGCGCTCCGCTCGTTGTCTGGCAGCATGTCGCTGCCGCTTCAAGCCGTCCACTGGCTCGCTCGACCTCGGCCTCGACCGAGAAACGTTGCTGATCAATATTCTTTGGGTCTTTCGGTAAAGTCACGTAGATAGGTTCAAATTAAGAAAAATAAAATAAAACTTCGACGTTTCGATCACAACACAAGCGACCGTCATCAATGCCAACCGTACGAAAGCAGACTCGGGGGGGAAAACGCTTTGTCATTAAAGCACGTACGGTAGTGTGACCCTGAGGATTCCTTCCAGGCTAAAACTTCTCAACTCCTTATTTCCTTGCACGCGTGCGTTTGCTCAGGGTGGGACGCTCATTCACTACGAGGACAAACTCCGGCTGCTGGAGATTGCGCAGGTGCCCTCGGCCAACATCGACGAATTCCGATCGGTCTCCAAGTTTAAGATCTTCAACACCAACAACCTGTGGATCTCGCTGGAGGCGTGCAAGCGCTTGCAGGAGAGCGGCCGCATCGATATGGAGGTCATCGCCAACCAGAGGGTAATGCGGCGCATCCCAACGGATAACAGGGGAATGCCTCGACCGACGTCTACTTGGTATCCGTGCCATTCTAATAGCGGCAAGGCTAGCACGAAGGCGCTGTTTCACAGATCCGCCCCCCTACTCGACATCTGTGAAAGAGCTGCAGTAGTATTGCAGCAAGGGGCAACGAGAGATAGGTGTTGCAGGTCATTTTTCAAATTTGGCGAATTTGGACCATGATGCCAGCACACATGGGCCTACTCTTTTTAAAATGATTATCATCATCATGTCACGGGATCTGTAACATCCGCTGTGAAGCGCACGGTGTGCACATCTGTGGTTAATGCATCCGCAGTATTAACCAGGCTGCCCGCGGGGCTCTAACTGTGAATCTGTGCGAGAAAGAGGGACAAATGTGCTGTCGCCCAGTCACGTGCAGCCGTGCCGCTGAATACTCGAAGTGCTACGGATCCTTAACTTTAATCCCTGGCCATGCACAGACTTTTTTTTCGGGTACAGTCTTCCGTTGGAACGTTTGGTTAATTAAATTCGTGTATGTTTAGCATGTCGGGGAGAAAGCTGTAAAAAAACAGGAGTGTGCACTTACAAGAAATGTTTAATGCTCAACGCTCCACAGAAATAGATTAAAACCGATGCTGTACAGTAACCTCGTGGGTCATATCTGGCAGCTCGTGAGACAATTACAACCGGGCACCATTCTTGTATCACTCGGCTATTCAGACGGAGCTATGATTCACAGCTGATGGGTCTCGTCATCTACCAGTAGGGAGGTTGGGGCACCTCTGATTAGCATGGTTTGCTACGTACGGTGGCGAAAAAAGTTCAACAAACGTACATGCTTACAGAAAGGGTCTACATTGCGTGTAAACTAAAAATAAGCACAGCAAGGGGTGGAATAATCCACCTTAGGGAGGGAGAAATCCCTGCACTGGCACATTCATGGGCACTCAGCGGTACCTCCTTTCCTCCCTGCCCACGGGAAACGGTGCCGGCCCCCGCAGATGCTGAGCAACGGGCTGAGCGTCATCCAGCTGGAGCGTGCCGTGGGCGCGGCGATGAAGTGCTTCGACAACGCGCTGGGCATCAACGTGCCTCGCTCGCGCTTTCTGCCCGTCAAGAAGACTGCCGACCTGCTGCTCGTGCAGTCCAACCTATACACGCTGCGCGGGGGCGCCGTGCGGCTCAGCGAGCGCCGCGAGTTCCCCACCGTCCCGCTCGTCAAGCTCGGGGACGAGTTCACAAAGGTCGGTGGGGGTGGGGAGGTGGGGAGGGGGTGTTTTAGACATAATTCGGGGAAAAAAATCGTACACGTGGATATATTGTGTATTGTTTAAATGTATATAAATAGAATATCCCCTATGAGTAACTGATGTGAAGTTTAATGATATGTGATCAGGGAAACTGTGGTGCGAACTCTTGAAGCATTTGAGAGGAGGGCGTTACATGGTCGTATATTTTATGTTGAAGGGGGGTGTCACTGCGTGTCTCTGGGATTCGCTCATCAGGTGCAGGATTTCCTCAGGAGGTTCGCCAGCATCCCCGACATCCTGGAGCTCGACCACCTCACCGTATCTGGGAACGTGACCTTCGGGAAGAACGTTGTGCTCAAGGTAACCCCTCTTTCTCTCGGTGACTTCTTTCTTCCTGGTCAACGTCGGTAGTTACTCGGCGGTGTTTGTTCCGGGTGCCACGGTCGCAAGATGTTAACTACCTCGCCTGGTGTGCAGGAAGCATGGGCTTCATCCCCTCCCTGACACCTGTATATTTGGAGTTTGCGTATCTCTCTCCCGTTGGTTGCGTGGATTTTTATCCAGGTCCTCCAGTTTTTCCCTCCACGTTTAGAATGAACACGCGCTTAGAGTATTTGGCCGCTATAAATTTCCACGTGATAAGCCACTTCATTGAACTATCATTTGTGGCCAGGTCGCTTCTGAAAAAAAACAGCTACATAGCTCAGTGGCCTTTACCTGGTAAAATAAGAATTAATTTTGATTTAAAGCTTTCGTGACTGCAGTGATTCATATTCTTGGTTCTTTCGGTAAAGTCCCGTAGAAGGGAAACAATAAAATAATATTTTATTATTTAATAATATTATTGTATTGTTTCCCTTCAACGTGATTTCACCAAACCAAGAATATAAAAATAAGAATAGTTTTGTTTTTTTTAGCCTGAAGGCCACGACAGTCATTATCGCCAACGCATTTAACCGTGAGCAGCTGTGACAGCAGTGGCGTAGGGTGATGGGGTTTTGTCTAACCAAAGAAAACGCAGTTTGTTAAAAAAACTGTATTTGAGGAACAGCGCTTGATCTACAAGTTTGAAACAAAATATCTTGACGTATGTTGTAGTTGCTCTTTCACTTGCCCACTAGGGGGAGCGATGATCGTATTTTTCCATACGCTTACAAAACTTTAACCAGTGAGAGTTTTTTTTTGTTATCTTCATGTGTCATGGTCTTAATGGCTGTCAGCAGAGAAATTGTAAAATACCTTGAAGGCTAAACGGCTTCTATTCTTGTGAAAGATGCGTAGGTCATGTGTAAAAAAAAAAAATGTCATCCGTGCTTGTGTTGTTGCGTGTAGGTGTATGCCCACGTAGTAGAGACTAGCGTGAAGCCTTGGTGAACACCGCGGGTGCATTAGCCAACAAAAAATATACACCATCTGCTTCACGGCGAACATTGGAGGGGCCATGACATTCTTCGAAAAAGAGTTGGCCATGTGTGCCCGCTTTTGTCCAAATTTAACAAGCGTACCTCCGATTTGGCACGGTCAGTTACGTGCGGCGCGAAAGAAGCTTAACGTACATACAACGTACATACAACGTACATACGTACAACTGTAAACAGTTCTGGTAGCCTATCTAATTGGTTGAAACTACACAGCAACATCGCCACCCTCTGTGACACTACTGCACACTTTATTCCTCCGTGAAACAGAGTATCTTCGTGGTAGCCTTGCGCTGTGGTTACAAAATGTACAAATGATTTAATATTAGTGCTGAAACAACCAATTATTAAACGTGTGTGTGTATATATGTAAATTCTGACTACTTCTGCAGGGTACGGTGATCATCATCGCAAACCACGGAGACAAGATCGCCATCCCGTCTGGCTCCATCCTCGAAAACAAAATTATCTCTGGAAATCTGAGCGTTCTAGATCACTAGCGGTCTTCTAAGCCTCCTGCATGCCACCACTGCGAGAAATAAGAAGATACCCTAAAATAGACAAACCCTTCAATGAGTTCACGTTGCTTTGCAAAATGCGTACCTCGGTTCTGTATCTTGATCTACCCGATGTGAATTCAGGGCGATGTTACTGAAAAAAGTGTACTCTGTCGGGAGATATCTTGAGGCCCGAGAGCATGTCCTATCTTATGCGAATCATTGACATCACTTCTCATGTGAATGATTTATAGAACAATGCATTCATTTGGGTTGCTGCGATGTGGGGAAACTACTGAACCGTTTAAATGGCGCTTTACCATTTTTTTTCCGGAGAGATAAATGGCGTGCTAATTGTATGCCGTCAACATTTGCCCAGTTAATTTTTATTATATTATTGTTTGTGTTACTTGATGGTTTGCGTGTATTGAACACAGATTGTAAAATTTCAATGATTAGAAAACTGTTAAGTGAATTGCAGTAAAAAAAAACTTGTAAGTAATCTTTATTTGAAAAGGCAAAAATTTGACGTGAAATACAAAGTCATGAAAGCTGATATCACGGTAATTGTCACATCATGAAACATGATATTCCTGCTACCCCTATGTTTATGAATTTGACCTCAAGGCTGTCTGTGGTTACATTAACGGATTCCAAAACCTCAAACTACCTGGACAAGAATTGGCGAGGCTTGCTGAATTTCTGTACATTGTCCAGCTGAAAGTCCGAGCACATTTGCTGACAAGGCAGTTCAAACTTCGTGCATTCTGTGATGTCGCAATGGGGGATGTTGGCAGAATAGCCTCTGGAGAGGCCCTCCAGAGCTCCTTCCATTGGAGGGCCTTCCGCCAGCAGTGGCATGAGGAAGCAATTGCAGGGCTGCACCTTTACCGTTGATGCAATGGAAAATTAATAGCATGAGAAAGTCACAAGAGCTTATTGCATGCAAGTCGGCAACTACAAATAATACGTAAAACTTTAATTATCTTCTTACAGATATTGATGTATCTGCCAGAATATTAATTACTGTACACTAGTTTTAGGTTGTCTTATAATAATTATAATCCATTCACTAAATGCATCCTGAATAACCGGTACAATCAAAATGCATTGTTTTCAAGATATTGCTCCACTGCTGTTGATATGAGATATTTCATGTACTTTGTGATTGTAGTTGCTAATGTTCAGCAACAAGTTTTAAACAAAATATTACACAAGTTGAGTTATATTGTGTGCACAACTTTGTATGCATAGATGTATGCAAAAAACATTGCAATTAACGTGAAATACAATGCCTAATTTTAAATTGGTTCATTAATCAGCTCGTAGATGTATACTTATACTGTCACTGTTCCAGTGGAAAGAGTTAAAAGAACAGTTTTATACTAACATAAAGGGGATTAAATACCTTATCTGGCTGCATTTTCATTAACTATTTATACACAAGCTGTAAAGGTGCAGCCCTACGATGTCTTGCTTTGCACCACTGCTAGCGGAAGGACTTCGACTGGAGGGGGAGCTCTCGAGACATGGCTTGAGAGCCCCCCTCCCCTGTCACGAGCAATAGAGCCACAAATCAAGTGAAAAATATCGATTGGGGTTAGTTCGATACTGATCGTGCAGCGCTAGTTCTTAGGAGATGGCAGGTGGGCGTTGGCCAGATCTGGTGGCATTGATCTCGGTCCTACTAAATATTTATATATACTGGAGGAATCCGATGAGTTATAAAGCTATTTTTTTCACAAATGTCCAGTACTCGGAGTATGAAGCATTATAGGGGGCATTCATGCGTTTGAGAATGGTGATATCAGACTGATGTTTACCGAGTAATCGAACTAACTCTTAAGGTTCTCGGGGTTTGCAATGCGCAGAATGTGATGACTTTAAAGCTAGTTCATGCTGAACCTTTATACCTCTTAGTTTTGACAGGAGTTGGCCTTAGTCCACATAATAAGCCAGGATTTCAGGAACACCACATTATCAATGGCATAATCCACTAGAAAGCCCAATGGCATAATCCACTAGAAAGCCCATGTTGCTACTTTCCATTAAGAGTTCATGTTGAAAATACACTCCTCTATACAAGGTCAAAAATCAGCATCATGGCCAAAGCCGTTAATGATGCCACCACTGCACCTCCGATTAGCACGGTTGGCTACGTACAGTGCGAAAGGAGTTCAACATACACAGCACCGCGCCAGTGCTTTCTACCCTCAACCAGACCCCGTAGCTGCTGCATCAGCAGACACGTGACGTGCATGTTGAACTTCTTTCGCGCCGTAATCGGAGGTGCCGTGGAAGGACAACAAATAAAACACAGACCTCCAAGGTCTGCCCGAACAGTATCCCACCATTTGTGGGTCTTCGGTCTTCCGCTTCGTTGCCAGACTCGTGGAGACCAACTTAGGTGATGATGAAAATGCACGTGTTTCATTTGAAAATAGACGTTTTAACTCTTAAGTTGTGGGATTGTTTTACTTTCCTCCATTACGTCCATTTCTTATTGAAGCGAAGGGACCGGTTTGTGGACCATTGAAATGTAAACATGTTTAACATGTCGCTTTGCGGTTGTTGGCATTGAAAGAGAGTTTGATTTTGTAGAATGTTTTGTTGAGCTAGGGTTGTGTGGGTGGCAGTATCTCCAAAGGCATGTTTGATAGTCTTTATTTTAATTTACATTCCAAGACGATTCTAAACTGTGGATGCATAAAATGCTGTTTTGTTTTCATGTATCGTGATTTAAAGCGAGGGCTTGGCTGTACTCGAGAGCTGAATGTTAAATGAAATGGCTTATTTTGAAGCCCATGTCTTTCGTAATAATGGAGAAAAAACTTGTTACGGAGTACAACAATGAAAAATAAAGTAGGCTTCTAAAGTGTATTATTTTGATGCTTTTAATCTCAAATGATATCAAGTACCACGCTGCATTAATGTTCGTTTGTTGGCCTTCCCCCGCACCTCCGATTAGCACGGTTGGCTACGTACGGTGGGAAAAAAGTTCTTTATGGGTGTGAGGTGAAGTTGGGGGGGCTGTCAACCAGGAAATATGGGAAAGAAGAGAGAGCAACACAGCCCCAGGATAAGGCAGCTCGGGCCTGGCACCAACAACAATGAGCTTCGGGTACAGCCAGGGCAAGCACCAGCGATTCCCAGGACATCCTCGGAGGCCTGGACCTCTTCATCAACCAGTCCTAAGGCAGTGTTCTTCACTCATTTTCAAAGGGGGGGGTGGGGGGAAACTTTCGCCGATAAGACATCATTAGCGTGAGGGCCGCCACGCATTTGAAACCATCGGGTGGGTTGACAGCAGCTGATGACGATGGGTGGTGTCACTCTCTGTATTATCGGGGGCCTCACTAAAGGCCACCAGTGGCCTTGCAATGAAGCGCGGCTGTCTTAAGGTGTCCACAGCGGGCTTTTGGGGCCCCATTCAACGAATACAACCGACACTGACAATTTCAACTCATCTCTGTGCGATGAGTGTTTTCACTCACTGGTGATGACCAAAGGGCAGGGCAAAGGTGTGATGGTCCAGTCGAGTAAAATAATCTTATCTAACCGCTACCAATAATGAACTTGGCTGGTTGAGTGGCAGGATAACCTCTTGTTGCGCATCTAAAACCCATTTTTAATTTGCCAGGGCACGCGTTCAAGCTTGCTCGCTCTTCACGGCACACCAAACCAACAAATCCGTGGGCCGTTCATCCAGCAGTGGATTGACCATGGTTGATTGTGTGTTTGTGTGTGCTATCTCAAAGTGATACGCCACTCCGGATGGACTTGGTGCCGTCATGGAAACGTGGAATGCCCACAATGGCGTCGTGGTGTCTTGTCGCCCACCCCCCACGCAGGGCTCGTCGCTACTCAGAGAGCCGCAGACGCGTGAGGTTCAGGTTCAATGACTAATCACGGTGGGGGAGTGGGGGGGGCACCCGACTGAGCCAATAAACTAAGAGGGTGGAGCTGTGTGCTCTGCGTGTCTCTAATTAGTAATTGTTGGCATGTCCGTTCGTCTATTTCACGGCGTTAATTGGATCTCTGCGTCTGCCTATTTCATCGCGACTTACGTTACTGGCCGCTGTGTCTGTGTTTAAGTATTCGATGGCATTGCGCGTGTCTGCGATTATTTCCAAATTACCGCTGGCACACACCTGAGACGATGGCACAGCACGTGGACAGGACACGTGGCCCAAGCCAGCTTGCCCGCCCTGCAATCAATGCTTTATTTGGTAAATTCCACAGCGATCGACTTATAAAGACCCAAATCGCCCGCATTGCACCCGATCTCGTCAGATCATCAAACAACCACAGCCAGGAGTGAGGAGAGGCCCTAATCCAGCAGTGGAGTGCTGCAGATCGACAAGGCGGCTGTACTTGTGCGTGTCTCGTCGTGCAGTGTGACTGCTGGAAAAGGGGCGTTAAAGCCTCGTTCACATGGCTTGTAGAACAGGGTAGGCGGCTGTTCCCAGTGTCATTTATATCTTTTCTTCCGATTACCGCCAACTCAATTGTAAAAATATACAACCCATGATTGCTCAGGCCTTCTTGGGCAACATTTCATTCATTTAGTTTAGCTTACGTGCTCAAAATTTTAGAACCGGACAGCGGCTGTGTTCCATTTCCCCCATTACCGACAACTCACTTGTAACAATATACATCCCATGGTTTCTCAGGCCTTCCTTGACAACATTTAATTCGGCTTACCTGGTTACATCAGTGGGCCAGTGTTCTGCGGTCCAGCTGTGTCCGATGTGAGCCACTATTTAAACAGACGCCATCAATGGTCGTGCGTTGATGACACCACGGCGCCTATTTAAGTTCCCAAGACTGGAGGAGATGTTTTTTTCTTCAGTTCTGGCAACTGCCCGATGATGCTGGTTGTAAGAGGTGTCGCAGAAAATAAAAACCGTCCGTAATCCAATCGTTGAGCGCTGTGGATTTTTCTCCAGCAACACCACGGATGCGCTGAAGACAGCAGTGGTGTAGTCAACGACATTATCAAGCTCTGGGGGGTGTGCGGGAATCGGTCAGGTGGGGGCCCCAATATTGTTGAAAACAAAAATCTCATGGTGGTTGTCGAGAGTGGCCCCAACTCGAAGCTTTGGCCACCGGGGGGAGGGGGGGTCAAGGCACCCCCTGCCCCCGGGCTCAATACTCCTGTCCAAGAGCGCACTGCATTTTGGTGTTTCGCCAATGTATGTTCTATGTTGAAGGTCTTTCGCACCCTACGTAACCAACCGTGCTAATGAGAGATGCGGGGGTGGGGGGGGCAACAAACGAAACACAAAAGGAAGGCCTCAACAATTTAGTTTTCAATCAACTATATTCGTGCAGGGTGTCCAAAACTCCAGGCCACGCTTCGTATTTCCGCGTTTACCAATTTACTCCCCCTCCCACCTCCATTCAAGATACGAATTAACTCGTTCCGCGCCGCACGCGCCCGACGGATTGTTCAACACGTCCCCACGTGACACGCCAAACAATTAACGCCGTCTACGTCACACGGAGCACGTGGACAGCTGTCACACACCGAGATCTCAATCGGTTCTATTAACGCAGAGAGCGCTCGTCGCTAAGCGCGTCACGTGGGGACGCGTTGAACAATCATCGGGCGCGTGCAGCAGCAAGGAACGAGTTTATTTGAATGGGGGGGGGGAAGTACATCGGTAAATGTGGAAAGACACATTCTGACTGAACTTGTGTAGCAATCTTGTTGCTGGACATTAGCAACTCGAATCGCAAGATACAGGCAAATATCTCACATAAACAGTAATGTATTTTTGTCAGAAAACCTTTGAATATTTCAGAGCCCTTCAGCATTTTGTGGAATTTATTTTGACAAAACACGGAGAATAAAACATCACGCGACAATTTCCGAGCGGTGACACACACAGGCATGCAATCACATCGTGCGTCACGTGTTCATCAAGAGCGCGCGAGATTGTCCTCAACGGCCGCTCTGATTGGCAGTCGCATCACGGAGCGTTAGGATAATCATGCAACACTGATGTCTACCCCAGAATATTGTCACACGTTTTACTAGTTGTGCTATATTTACACCTTTTACACCGGTATTGTTTGCGCGGGGTTTTTAAGATATTTCATGAGGTCCTTTTCCTGGTTTCTTTGAGAATATTTGATGAGAAACTCAAAGGACAAGTGTGTTAATGCACAGCTGATACACATCGGGGCATTTCATCTCCCGGGAGGACTTTTCCGGGATAGCTCCATCAGTGATGATCCTGTGAAAACCAGAACGGGTGGCAACCCGAGACGTCTCTGGTGTCCGTACACTCCCGTTTGTGGATTAGCAAGCAAAATGTGTGCTGCTCACAAACAGCAGGAAGGCACGACTCCCACAATGCCTGGCATGCGTGTCATGTGTCCACCACATTACGCATACCCTGTCAACTCCTTACCAGTGCCTACCTTAGTACAGACCAATTCAGACCTCATTGGTCACCCCTTATACATCTCAACGCTCATCCTACAAAGTCCCATTGCAAGGGAGAAACACAGGCACAAAAAAAATGTTTGCACGTATTTAAACGGCTGTACGCTGTATGGACCTGAAAACTCGATTTCCCTGTACAAGAATATGGGGTAAATCGTACGGGTTCACAGCCGTGATACGTGTATAGTACAGGGTGGTCCAGATGTCTTGTAAACCCGCCCCCCCCCCTCAATAATCTTAAAAAAATGTCATATTTTGTTAAAGTTCATTCGAAACAGAAATGAATATGCAAAGGAAAAATAATAATTAGGGGTAAATTAATTGGGGGCGTCACAAGACATCTGGGCCACCCTTTGCAATGCTCTCGGACCTTGCCGGCTTTCTTCCAGCCCGTATGCATTGTCCTGTTGTGGTGGTGGTGGTTGAGGCCTCTCATCATTAAACAGAGCTGTATTTAAAGTCGTCTTTTTACCAGGCGTTGTCGATTGCCGCGGCTGTGTCTTCGTTCGCCACCGGAGTTCTGATCGGTCGGAGGCCATGCGTCGCCCATCGTGCCTCCTTATGATTGGCTCCCTCCCCGTTGCTTCACGTTCGGCGCATGAGGTGGGGGGGGGGCTATGGAAGTCGGGGGGGGGTCTATTGGGGGGGGGGGGGGGGGGCGTCGCTCAGCGACGGGAACTTCCTCTCGTAAATAATGGTTACTACAATAAACACGGGCTGCACCACAACCTGATCCACTCAGCAGGGATGCATTCCAAGGCAGGAGCCCAAACCGTTGGACAGCGAGAGAGCAGGATGTGTGTGCGACTTGCACATTGGCCATACTCTCACTTTTTATTGCAACGTTGTAAAATTGCACTGTGATTATTTTTTGTTATATTTTATCGTAGAAAAAAAAATCTCATTTCATCGTAGAAAAATATGCGACGTCGACTAAATTCAACTCGAAGACCCACGAAACCCAAAATAATAATGATAGGATTATATATTTATACAGTAGCAACTCGACAAAGGGATAAACTACCTGAACCACCGATGAAATCCCTTGGCGTCCGAGCAAAATTCAGCAGCGAGGACCGGTCGCCGGGACATCCGAGCGATGGCACAATGCGATGTTTTTGTTTATTGTAGTACGGAGTTAGACTGATGGCCTTAATCTTAGTTGTCTTGTGGTTGTTGTTATTGTTGTTGTTGTTTGACTTGCATCCCACTGGGATTTTTTGCACACAGCGTTGGTGTACGGTGCTATTTCAGGAATATTTTTGATGTGTTTTTTTTCCTGTATTTTCTGTTTGCGCAGTCACACATAGTCACTTTAAGATGTTTTCTTGTTCATGTTTTTTTGTTTGTTGCGGTTGCACCCGACGATTCAAGAGCCGCATGGCTCACAGGGCTGTACCAACATAAATAAAACTATGAACTATCATGTGTGGCGGAGTTTTTCGTCCAACCACAGATCCACTTGGTGGCTTTTGTGCTTCTCAGATAACGTTTGGTCAGCGCGCGAGTGCCGCTGGCTCCGCCTGGAAAGCCTCACGTAGAAAACGGAGCTCAGTAACTGCGGTCGCTTTGTGTTGTTTGTGTTGTTTGTTGTTGTAACTCGCTGACCCGCCCCTACTGGGACATCTGTTTGAAAAAGGAGCTTCATAGCTCGTCGGATCCCTCCTCCAGTGTGAATAAAGTTTCTGATTCTGAATTCAATACGTCCGCACACCCAGCGACCGATTTAATAATAAAAAAACACCTTCAGTGAACGCGTATCTTAAATTGCAGTGCTTTAAATGACAAATGCAGGCAAAGCAGTACTCGGTGTGTTTCACGCGACTGGACAGAGTTCCGGTAACGTGAAAAGGCAGCTGGCAGAGTAGCCCACAGGTTTGCAGCCGTTAGTAGGAGCTGGTACTGTGATGTCCGCTGTCCAGATTCTGGAAAACGCTCGACTTAGGGGCTGGGCCTCCAGTCCCCAGCTTTCGCAGAACCATCTGGCCAATGGGAAGAAATAGATAAGAGGTGTGTGTGTATGTAAGATGGACAGACAACACGTCATACATGCTCTCAGCATGTCCCTTCAAAGACAAAGATCCCCCGTGCAGCCTTTAACAGATTGTTGGGGCAAGTGCTGTTAGCGAGTACTTATGAAGGCCGGCACTGTGGCACACGAGGGGGTGGGTGGCCAGCACCACGCCCGTTCGCCTTTGTTCCCTAGTAGCGATGTTTACACATCGCACCAGGCACTCATTTGAGGCTAAGTCTACCTAGGAGAGGCTCATGACCAGTTCAGATAATCGTCACTGCTGTTGGCCATAAGCGGGAATCGAACTCAGGTCATTGGGTTCGTAGCGAACCTACTACGCCACCACCCCCCTTTCATGCAATTGCCCACACACCTCTGATAGCAAATGCCCTGACTTTCGTAACAGTATCGGACCAATACGTTGTGCGCAATAGGGGGCAGTGCAGCTAAATCCGTTGTTGGACTGCACATGTAAGACTTCGAATTTCATGTAGTTGGTCAATTCTGGCCATCAGTGTTTCCCGAGTGTTGGACCCAAACTTGCTCGATACCGACTTTCAGCGAGGGCACAGCAATAATCTCACAATCCTGTGAGCCGCACCAACTTGTTACAAATGTTTTATGACCAGAAAGCATGAAAGGCAGCACTGAGAAAGATATTAAATATATATAAACGCACTGCAGGGAAGAAAAAAAATCGCCAACTCGCTGACGTTTTTTTTTTTCAATATCCCTCGACATTCTGCGCATGAATGAACCACTTTGTACTCGTGTCTTGGCCAGACTGCAACAACGCCCCAATTAAAAACTTTCTGCAGACAAAAAAAGACAAAATAGCAGGCCATCCACATTAGCGCAATGCATTCAGCTTAAGGATGCCACTGGACACAAACGCTACAGAAACAATAGAGCCTCTCTCTCGCTGGTGCTGGTACACAGTGACCAGTCCAATCTGGTCAGGACAAGTGAGGTGCACAGGTCATGTGGGGTTCTTTCTCCCACTACGCTCAGAATATTGACAGGTCAGCTTAGATTCGCATATTCGATAGAGCTGGGTTATCCAGACTCTTTGCGTTATCGAGTTAACCTTCGAATTGTGAGTTCAATCACTCATCTAATTGGATAACATGATGCTCCAGCAGAACTACAAATATCCGATCATTTCGCAAATTTCTGGAATCCGTGGATTATTCGTACTTAAGACTGCAGGAATTCATAGTCTTGGTTGTTTCAGTAAAGTCACGTAGATAGAAAATAAAATAAAATAAAAAAAATAATAAAATGTTAAATAATAAATTGAAAATAATAAAAGAAAAAACCCCACAACGTTTCGATCGCAACACAAGCGGTCTTCATTCGGCTGCTTTTATTATTTTCAATTTACTATTTGACATTTGGTTATATTATTTATTTTATTTTTATTTCCTATCTATGTGACTTTACCGAAAGAACCAAGAACATGGATTATTCGTAGTTCGCAATTCCTCCTGAAATACGCGAGACCGTTCAACGTGAAATCCATGAAAAATTAAACCACGGTTTTCTGGGTCCCTTTCGTACTCTTTGGCACACCGCATTGTCCGCTGGGATTATCACAACGCAATTGCCATAACGTAATTAATCGCAACGTAGTTTATTGCACAGTCAAGCAATGCGAGGTAAGAACTGGGTGCTCATTCACACCGCCTATATGCGAAAGTGTATAAGGCCCCAGGCTTACGTTACACATCTCTCTCACTTTGGCCTTCTCCTGCTCACTGATCTCGGGGGAAGATCCTTCATCAATTCCTCCCCGCATTTCTTCTCGACTCTGCAAGAGATTCAACACACACATACACACACACCGATATCAACCAACTTAATTTCACCGCAATAATTTCCATGAGCTTGTCAACTTTCACCTTACAAGGGAGTCGGTCATGAAACCAGAAACTTACGGTCGCTTTTGTCCGCTGGTATGTTCAACACTGTATTGGGTACTCATTTTAAGTCAAAAGGAGGGCTTAAGCTTATTTCAGATAACACTGGAATGTGTGGATAGTAATTTATTTCAGTTAAATTATTTGTTAGCTGGTTCGGTTAGCACACTGGACGAACAATCCAGAGGCTGCCGGTTCAAAAGTTTATTGAATCAGATTATTTAAACTGCAGGAGCAATCCGATGGGCTATGAAGCTCTTTTTCACAGATGTCCACTATGGGCACGGGGGTCAGCAAATCTGTCGCCATCCTCCCTTGGCTGTGTCCACCCAACAGTGTAAAACGGTGCAACTCCAGGGAGTAATACGTCTGCAGGTCACGTGCGGTGTTGGGGCTGGCTTCAGACGCCTTCAGACATTAGTGCAAGGCGCCTTACAAATAAATGCAAATTATTATTACTGTTTATTGTGGGTACTCCCACCTCTCCAAAGATATGTGGCCAGCATGGAAGAGAAGGCCAAATACCCTCCAGAGGGGCTCTCTACAACCCCCTCTATTGCTGGAGGCCCCTCTGCCAGCAGTGGCACTGGCAAAGCAATCGATTGCAGGGCTGCACCTGTACCTATCTGCATGGTTGTGCGGTGCCATGCGCGAACCACTCCACCCAAACTATTGGCGGTGAGCAAGCGGGGCCAGTGTGGAATGCACGTGGCGTGTGTGGTGTGTGGTGAATGGCAGTTGTAGCGGTTAGCGCGCTGCGGTACGAACCAGGCGACTCGAGTTCGATTCCCGCTCCCGGCCAACATCAGTAACGATTATCTGAACCGGATCTGGGCCTCCCCTAGGTCGACTCAGCCTCAAATGAGCACGTGGTGCGGTGTGTAAAACATTGCCACTCGGGAGAAAAAGGCGACCGGGCGTGGTGTTCGCAGCCTATCCCCCCCGTGTGCTGTGCCAGCCTTCATCGGTGCTCGCTAAGAGAACTTGCCCCAAAAAGCTGTTCAGGCTATACCGGGGATCTTTGTCTTTGGTGTGCGGGGGGTGGGGCAGCAGTGACTGTCGGTGTCATCTCTTGCTGGAGTGACGCAGAGCAGCCCTGGGGCAGGCCCTGCCTCCGCACGACATCTCCTTGATAAAAGGTTACTGGAGATTTCTTTACGCTTGAAATGAACGTTAGAAAAAAAACTCCACAAACGGCAGTCACTTGGGATTCCATTCAGAATTGAGGAATAACGGCAACTACTTAAATAAAAAAAAATCGCCACGTTGTTGTTCGCGCGAGAGTAACGTACCGTTTTGTAAAACTGAATCGTTTCTCTGGAACGGTCACTGATGGGGACAGGTGCCCGTGATTCGTTAATTGTATAACAAACTAAACACCAACACGCAGAGTTTTCAATCGAGATGATTTAAAAGTGCGTAGCTCCAGTGGCTTCCTAATATCGGAAGGAAGAGCGTTCCAGACGGCCGCAGAAGCGCATCTGAAAGCGCGCGATTCAGTGACCGTCTTTGTTCGATGAATAAGCACCGCCGACGGTTATTTAAACCAATGCACAAAGGCCGAGTGCTTTTTACGGGTTCTCGTGTGTCTTGTTTGAAACTTAAGAGATTTATAAAAAAAACATGGCATTCCACGGCTGTGCTGGGAGGGCGCAGAGGGCAGAGGAGCGAATGAGCGGGGGTTGGAACCGACATCCGTAGATGATAGAACAAGGGAGCGGAGGTTTGGCAAGGCTCAAAGGTCACCACGAGTAAGGCCCTCTTCCTCCCTGTACCGTGCACATTCCTGGCTGCAAGTGTCTTGGTTTTAAGCCTCTTCTGCGCCAGAGCGAAAAAAAAATGTCAGAGACGTGTTGTCTGCGAGCAAATATTTCACCCTCGCGAGCCGAGTTTCTCTCGCAGCGAACTTATAAACGTTGTGGAGTTGTTTGTGAAGGCCAAGCGATATCAGCAGCATCCAGAGCGATATTTTTGGTCTCTGCAAACAACTTGGCAGTGTTCAGTTGTGTGTTGATTGGCTCACGATACGGGTGGCATTCATACACACAATAAAGCACGTATGTACAGCAGTGGATGAACAAAATTCAGAAAATTATTATAGAATTACTCCATTAAAATTGCGGTCTCCACATATCGATATACATATATGTTATTCCATCAACATACTCCATCAACCTACTTGCTTTCCAGATTAATATTATTGTTCTAGCAAGCCTGACTCTGCACAACAACACAAATCGAGTCTTAATATATTACGAAATAAGGTTAACATGTATACTACACTTTATTACCAGTTATGTAAATGGGGCTTGTATGCCACCCAATCCACGTGTTGTCCCTACTAAACACTTCTTATGATGACGGTTCTGCAGATGACGGAACGGCGGTGAACTTGGACTGCTGTCGGACGAAAAGGTTTCCTTCCATGAATTCTACTTTTACATTTCAACCACTGCTCGTGACAGAACACAAAGACACTGGCAGCAGCAACAAGACACCAGCAGGGACAAGTGGAACTCTTAACAATAGGTGGGTGGGGGAGAAAGGAGAGAATGCAGCCATTTGATATGCTCTGCTCTGTACACTTTAAATTCTATAACAAACAAAAAATTACGTGTACTTGATGCAGTGCATGTATGTTGAACTTCTTTCGCGCCGTACGTAGCCAACCGTGCCCATCGGTGGTGCGGGGAAGGACCACAAATTAAAGACAAAAAGCAGTTCAGAAGAAATTAGTTCTATTAGCCCTGTATGTTTTGTGCTCGTTGTGCCGTGATGTTGACGCACAGTCTTTCCGTTCAGAACTTGACCTGCATGGTTTCCAGTTGAGTGCTTTGCTCGCGATTTTATTGTTGCTTTAAGCAGGCTCCCACGGCGGCGGCGGAACCAGGTGTGCCCCAGCACTTATTGCCCAATGGCTCTTCGCCTGTGCCAAGACAAATCCTAAAACACCAAAAAAAAACCTAAAACCACCCCTCGATTTTGCAAAGCTGGCGGAGTGTCCCCGGCTGGAAGGCAGGGACTGACTCACGGTGGCGCCGTACTGAGGAGCGAAGGAGGAGGCTGTGGGCCGACCCAGGCCTGGTATGTGAGAAGCCGATCCCACTCGTCGCCCCCCTACCAGACCACCGCCGCCTCCAGACAAAGGGGGGAGCTGGTGGGAACGGCGGGGGGGAAGGGGGGGGGGTAATGCGTCAGTGTCATCACCCCGTTCTCCATGGGAAACAGAAGCAATAAAATATAGAAACAACTCTTACTCCACTACACGTGGATGGATGGGTAGGGATGTTGCCGCGGGCGTAATGGAATATTTAAACCGGGGATTATTTGGTGATGCTGCTGCTTTGGCAGTGGCGCTCAAGCACAAGTAATAAAATCATTAAAAAAACTCCACACGTTCGTCAATAACGCTGTTGCCTAACAAGAAAGTTATATAAATAGGTGACGTTTCGGGCAAAACGGCCCATTTTTATGGCACAGACAACACTGAGGTGGCCGGTTAAGTTCGATTTCCCGGCGCGGCAGTTGAAGCGATGGGCTAAAGTTCTTAAATACCTCCCCACCGCCTCCGTCCACCTAGCAGTGTAAACGGGGGCACCGCAGGATGATCGGCAGGTTGCGCGTGGTGGGATGAAGTGTGGGTACACCCAAATCTTCCAAGACGTCAGGTCAGGGTGGAAGAGTAGGCCAAACACTCTCTAGGAGGCCATTCTGTCAGCAGTGGTGCTAGCAAGTGATTGCAGAGCTGTACCTTTAGCTTACTTACAGCATGGATACGCATTTAATCGTAATAATTTAATGTACAGGACTTCGTAAATATACTGCTACATTAACACCTTCCCACACACAACGGACCGCCCTGCTCTAGATAAATGGCCCTGCTATAAATGTATCACCCTGCTATAAATGTATCACCCTGCTATAAATGGATCGCCCTGCTATTCAAATCATTTTGGGTGTAAAAGGTGTGCAGGGTAGATGTGCACGATGTGCTGTGAAAAAGAGCTTTATAGCTCATCGGATTCGTCCAGTGTGAATCAAGATTCTGATCCTAATCCTAATAAATACAAATTGCGATTCCGTATCCGAGTAATGCATTCAAAGGTGTAAAAAATCAGCCACGTCAGAGACACGGGGTTCGGCCAAAAATGCGACAAATAAAGACCCTGTTCACGTTAAACACATTCCAGACACAGCTAACTTGGGTGCACCTCTGTCGAAGACGGTGACGTTCTCAAGCATTGTTATTATCATTATTATACACTACACGCAGTGCCATGCACGAGTTTGAAAGGTGGCAGAACAGCCTTCGCAAAGCCGGACACCTCCAGAAAGCCCCTCTAAGAGGCTATTAGGCCACACTCTTCCATTTGCTTCAGATGCCGCACCGGGAGATGGAACTGGTGACCTCTGGATTGCGAGTCCAGTGTGCTGACCTTTGATAGAATCAGAATATTTATTTATACTGGAGGATTCCGATGAGCTATAAAACTCTTTTTTTCACAGATGTCCAGTTGGGGCATGGGGTCAGAACGTTACAACAACAAACAAAAAGCACGATAGGAGAGCAAAGCATCAGAAAGTAAACAAATCACAAAAAAATACAAATAAAGCTAAAGTATTTTTATGTTACCAGGTGAAGCCCACTCAGCTATTAGCTTATTTTTCAGAAGCAACCTGGCCACAAATTATAGCTCAACGAAATGGCTTAACACGTGGAATTGCATAGCAGCCAAATGATCTATCACACATTACACCGCGGCAGGAACCGTAATCCTACGAGACATGCTCAATCTACCAACAAAAAAGAAATAGGCTGTGCTTTTCAACAGTTATAATGCAAACTATTCGCACATCAGTCTCACATCTTACCCTGCACCGTGTCGGTCATGAACGTTTGTTTATCATACTTTGCCACGTTCGTCAGTGCAGATTGGTGAAGTTAGGGCCCAAGGACCTACCGCTCACCACTGGGAGTTTTCCGTGGCTGGGAATCGAGGGGCAAAAGGTGTAACTGTGGCTGCAGGGGAGAAGCATGATTTCTGCTGTTATTATCTCCCGTTATTAACTCTGGGAGAGTTCAAAGGCAGCCAGCAGTGTGTGGTATGTTGCCTCCCACAGGCTGACAAGACGTTGTATTGTTACTATGTGGAGAGATGGACCTATGCCTCTTTATATCTTTGCTAGTCAATGATCCACAAACAGCACATACAGAGTTGTCTTTGTACTAATAACTACAGGGATAGGTGGATATATGAAGTTGTGTTTTTAAGGCTGGGATTTTTCTTTGCGTGTTAGTGTGTTTAAATACACTACTACATGGACGCCATTGTGGTGAGATGTTAACTACCTCGCCTGGTATACAGGAGGTCGAGGGTTTGATTCTAACCCTGACGCCTGCTGTATATTTGGAGTTTGCGTGTCTCTTTCCCCGTGGTCGCGTGTATTTTTCTCCGGGTCCTCCGGTTTTTCCCTCCACAATTTTAATCAACATCACGTGTTTAGAGTATTTGGGTGCTATGAACGTCCACATGATAAGCCACTTCGTTATCATTTGTGGCCAGGTCGCCTCTAAAAAAACTATATAGCTCACTGGGCCTTACCTGGTAAAAATAAATTAATTCGTTTTTAACTACAGTACATCCCAGCAGTGGATGGTTCATGGCAGTCAATGATAATAGCCAAAGTGGTCCTGTTACTCACCTGGGCCCGAGGTCTTGTATCCATTTCTGACAGAATCCTCCAGTTCTGGGTGAGATGGCTGTAACCGTCAGACGCTTCTGTGAACATAAAAAAACGACATCGCTCTTCATAATAAGTACAGTCGTGGAACAAACAAGTACAGGGACTCCTGTGCTGGCGAACATTGGACTTATGAACTTCCAGAGATACGAACAAACCTGTCCCGTATGGTCCAGTTGCCAGTTCGGATCGAGAGTCGTAAGTTCAACCGCACCACACAACAGATGGCGGTGGTGGCATCTACATCTGTAGAAGGTAAAGAACCAGTGGCATCTACGTCTACAGCAGATTATACAACTTTTAAAGCCATTCCCCGTGTTTAGTGTACACATCGACTTACGAACAGACCTTTGGAACCTAACTCGTTCGTAAGTAGAGGAGTCCCTGTATGATTTACAGCGCTTAGCCAATCTGTTCCTGGATGAAGGGCTCCCCATCCCATGGCAGTCACGGGAGTTGTTTGACCATACTTCACCATGCTGGTCAGTGCGGGTTGTTGATGGAGGTGATCTCAGGACCGATTCAGACACCTCTCGTCACTGATGCTTGCCAACTTTCTCCCTAAGAGCGACCTTTTGTGAAATACCAATCATCAAGTTCCTTTTTGCACGACAGTATTCACACTGCCATTGCTTTCGCTGTCACACATTTAATATCTTTTTGTGATGTGTGATCTTCGATTTCTTTTCTCATTCTTTTTCTCGTGGTTTTACAGAGTTGTGTGGTTTGCGGCCAGTTGGGACGTGAAAATATTTTTTTTTCTTTTTTTTGAAGCATCAAAAAGGAATCAAGAAATTGGACCGAGGAGCCTGAATGGTTGCATTTGGAACGTAATGTAGTTTGTCTCTCACAGACAAATTCCAGACTTTGAGAGGCATCTCCGTCCTCGCTAATTTCCACACGGAAAGCGATCGCGGGCTGGCGTGATGCGAAGTGCCCTCCATCAGCACCGCCAAGGAGAAGACGCAGCCAATTACAGCCAAGACTTTACAAAGCTAATTGCGGGGTGGGCCATCATAGTCATCATCACGCATGATTATTTTGGTCCACTCGTAAAATAAATAAATATATAACCCCCAGCCACTTCCTTTGACGAATATTTCCATCACTAACTTTCGTTGTGAAGCTCATGGTCCACCCTAAACCGCGTCCACTGCACAAAACCATGGCAGATGCGGATACCCTGATGATGCACAAATGGAAACCTTAAAAACTCCCCAGTAGTGGTGTGCGACTGTGCTCATCCAGAACAGAGACCGTAACAACGTATAACGACGTAATGCCCCCCCGATCCACAAATACAAAGCAGACATCATCACAGCCACGATACACTCCGCTGCTCCTGACGCGGATGTCTGGGCTTGACCACCTGGATGTGAAATCGTTGTCGTTACTCTGCATCGACATCATCAGCCGTACGAACGAAAGAGAGAAGGGGTTATAAAAGCTTGACGCTGCCGCACGATGGCAGTGGCGCCGCAATGCTGCCGACGCTCCACGGTGCCGACGCGCACGGAGAGCGACGAGTCTCTTGGCGCGTTTGGCGTGGGTGACGCGCTGCTGGCACAGCTGCGAACGTACGGTAATGACAGGGTGCTTGTCAGAGTAAGTATAGCTCTCAGGGGGCTGGAAGGGGGGGGGAGGTTGGTGTCTTGCTATGTGATGGACAACAAACTCGACAGGTGATTTACGGACGAACGTGTTACGTCTTGACGAAAAAACCTCCTGGGACCTTTCAATGTCCCGGGGAGACTCGCAGATTTTGCAGGGCAGCGGCTGCCTCGGCAGGGGCAGCGGCTACCGCAGCATCTCCGATTAGCGCGGTTGGCTACTGTGAGTCGAGCCTTGGTGAAACCAGGCATGAGGCTGGCGTGGTGGCACGACTAAGTCTTCACTGATCCCGTCAACGAAGTGTCTAACTCGCTTCTGAAAGCCAGGTGCTCTGCGACGTAAGGCACACATTCCGGCCAACCGTGCTAATCGGAGGTGCAGGGAAGGACAACAAAGTGCCGGGGAAGGTACGACCTGGAAATGCATCAGAAAGGTCGTGAACAAACAAAAAAACCACTCCAGCAACACGCTGATGAACACCAACGGCTGTGCAGACACTGTGACGTCAATGACAGCGCAAATTGCGGCGAGCGGAGTGCATCAAGATATCAAACGCTTCGTGGGCCCCCTTCTCGCCAAAGGCATTTAGACAAAATCTGCGCAATGTCTCAGCGTGAAGTCTGCGCGATGTCTCAGCGTCCGGCTGTCAGGAGGAAAGGGGGCGATGCCCTAAGGCTGGCGCACAGGACTTGGCGAACACAACAATTGTTACCGCACACAGGTCGATCCGACAAAAAAATCCTACGAGAGATTCAAGTTCGCGACCGACACAAACAAGCCCGAGCGTACAAACGCGCACTGCTTTCCGAGGTCTATTCAGTTTTGCCGGCCAAACACCGAAATGCAAGGGATATATTATAACGTCGGCGTGCGGTGAATGGGTTTGCAAAAAAAATATTATGGCGTTTCATTTCTCTTTGGAGGTAAAGTAGGCGTGATTTATTTTAGGTACGACCCAGAGGCACCGAAACATACGCGCTAAAACAAATCAATTGGGTTGAGAGACTTTTTGGAAAAGGCTGCTTTAAAACATTTCTAGACACCTTGCAGAGGTGGGCTGCTGCTGCTGCTGTCGCCGCTGGTGCATTGGCATTTGATTCGTGGACCCACCTACTGCAAGTACAATCCATTGCGGAAACACGCTCACAGACTACTCTACTCATCGTGCATTCGACCAATGGAGGGGAGAATCACCGATCACAAAAATTGGGTTCTAAACCAATCGGCAGGGCTTTAACTAAATGTGACGACAGTGTGTGACATGAACTTCCTAACAAGCCAATGGCAAGTGACAACCAACTTATCACATGGTGCCCTTTTACCAAATCAGATGCCCTGTGCAAGTGACAACCAACTTATCACATGGTGTTCTCGTACCAAATCAGATGCGCTGTGCAATACAGATGACGTGCGATTGTCATGCGGGCCGTTTAGAAACTTCATGTTTGTCATAGTGCCATTGTTATTCATTTCAATTAGGACCAAGACTGACAATAACTACCTTGCGTTGTGTTTGTGATTGTTCTATGTTACAACTCCGCTCCTTCGCTCGTGCTGGAGGAGGGCTGGCACCGGTTCACGCGTCAGCCACCACTGACGTTGGCCGTGGCTGTGAATGGAACTCAGGTGTCTGGGTTCATAGCATATTGTGCTAACCACTGTGCTACCACTCCAACCCCTCAGTTGAATCACATCACTTCTCCCTGCCCCCCACCCCCACAAAACAAGATAAATAACCTATATAAATTAGAGAAGTTAGTTAACCTTGAAAAAAAAGATCCAATCCGTGTGAAATTTCCATTGTGATAATAAAATAACATTTTAGGTAACACAACACCTGAGATTGGCCAATGGTGGAGTGCTTCTCAAACACGAAAGGAAGGGGTAAAGCGTATCGCTGTCGTAGACCACCAGGGGTTCGGGACCCAATGTCGGTGTTGAGAAAATTGTGCTCAGCAATCCGGAGTGGACCCCTGCCTCTTCTGCTATTGGGGCCTGGTCACAGATAAGACGTCACACACACACGCGCGTGATTGGAATGATGACAGTTTATTTTTAAAAAGCGCGTTACAACTCGTAAACTTGTCCTGAAAAGCGTTATCCAATGTCTCTGTCGTTACAGGAAGCCCCAACTCCACCGCCCACCCAAGCCTTATCCTGCCGTGAAAAATGTAGACAAAACATTTGCAATGATTTATATATACTATATATATTTAACAACAAAAAATCACGTACATGCAAACACATGCTTGGTCACACAACGATGCAGCCTAATGGATCCAAAACAGGTAAAATGTGTTTAGTGGAGGAGAAAACAAATACTAATACTGCCTCGAGATGTGTTTTTATGGCGAGGGCATAGGGTTTGCTTTTCTGAGCATGCAAAGAGTAACCCAATTACACATTACAAGTTAAAAGTTAAACCACAGCGGCTATTTTATCACTCGTCGTGCACGCTTATTGTGTATCAAAGCTTCAGCTGTCCGCTCGCCGCTGACGTTGTTCAACGTATGAGGAGCCAATCGTTTGGTGGTGCATGCATAAGGCGATTTTGCTATCTGCAGGGCCCACATTTGAATGTGGCATTTTGCCACCGACAATGCAATATTACAAAAAAATGTATCAGCGCCACTCACAATATATAACGTTGCAATAATATAACAACCAATGCCGCTAACAATGTAAGATTGTAATAATGTAACAATCAGCGCCACTAACAATGGAAGACTGTAGTAGTATCAGCGCCACTCACAATATATAACGTTGCAATAATATAACAACCAATGCCACTAACAATGTAAGATTGTAATAATGTAACAATCAGCGCCACTAACAATGGAAGACTGTAGTAGTATTCATAATAATAAACTACAAAAACACTATAACCCAAACTGGCAAACCACTCATAATAAAGGTTTATTGGTTTAGGTTGCGTAAGACAAAAACCTTTGTTATGAATATTAGTCGCGAAAGCCTACGTGTTAAACTGGCAAACCACTGTGATGTGTTACAGTTATAGCTACGTTATATTAGTGCATTTTATCATTGCCTTAAAATTATTCATCCATGAATATCATCATCAGGACCGTACGTCCAAGTTACGAGTACAAAACACAAACACACTGAACTTATTCATCACGCGCGAAATCGCACCAGGCTCCGTAAACAATGAAGCGAATGTCTTTGGGTTACTCTATGGGCTTCTATGGATTCATTAGTAAACCACGTGCATTATCGACTGTGTCCCCACCGGAATAGCAAAACCTGTGGAGGCCGTTAATCTTCACTCACCGTCTTCCAACCCGCTGCTGAGAATTCTGTAGCGCTCATCGTCGGCTTAATCTCTCGCCATATATTTCCCCGGGACACCGGTAGGTGACGCCGGGTACCCAGTAGTCGCCACAGCCGCAGCGAGACATAAATATAT